CCAAATATGGTTTACCCAGGGAAGAGTACAGTGGTACTTATCACCTCTTATCCAACATGAGGAGGAGTCCTATATCTTCTTCTTTTTAAAATATCTTTTAAAAAAGCTTTTGCTATGCAATATGTTTTTTTTCTTTTTGCAATCATTTGTTTACATGACTTGAACTCATTGTGCAGAATTTTGACATACTATTTAATTATTCATTATAGAACCATAGTTTAATCACACTGAATATTAAGTGTATCTTGGACAAACTCGATTCCCCCCCACAAATATTGCCTTGATTATAACCCTAATATCCAATCAACTTTTTTGACATGGCAGTCTACCAAAACCTCAGCTCTTCCCCCCCCCCAAAGATTGCTATCCAACAATGCTTTCCCCCACCTTGTATGTGTGAGGTCAATTTCTTGAAAACAAATATAAGACTTTATATCTATCCTCACTGAATTTCACTGGATTCAATTTAGCCTAATATTCTAGCTTTTCTGTTGATGGCACTGAAATTCTTTAAGTCACTCAGGCTTATAACCTTGCATCAATTTTTTTAACTTTTCCCTCTCTTTCATCCCATATCCAATTATCTTTCAAGTGGTATTTATTTTACCTCCACCATACCTCATAGACATCTCCTTTTGTTAACTTCCACTGCCACCCTCCTTGTTCATAGCTCATTTCATCTCACTTAGACTTCTATAATTGCCTTCTAATCAGTATGTTGGTAACTACTCCATCCCTTATCCAATTGATCCTTTATACTACTGCTAAAGTATTCTTCCTAATATATTCATTCTGATCATCAATCACCTTTGACTCAAAAAGTATTCAGTGATTCACCATTCCTTATAGGATTAAGGATATATTCCTGATCTTGGCATTCAAGTTCCACAGATAGTCAAAAAATATGTCCATGGTAGGATTTTATCACATGCCTTCCTGGCTCCCACTGGCATTGATTGGCCTGATCCTTAGAGGATAGCCGATTACTACTCCAAAGGACCTAGAGATACATAGGGTTCACTCATAAGCCTCCACCAATGTGCTTCTCATTAATAATCATCAAGACAATTCCTTTTTTATCAAATGAATTTTCTGACATGGTATAGAAAGTAAGCAAGTGTATTAGTTAACAAAGAAAAAAAATCCCCACGAAAATATATAGCACACTTTTCCACAAATACACACAAGGTTCTTGGGGAAAGTGGGCACACAATTAAAGTACAAATGTAGTGAGGCACATATGTAGAAAACACATGTTTCAAAGAGGTAACTAATAACTACTTATAATAAAGTCATTCTCTTCCTTCATAGAGTCTGTACAAAGTTCCCCTTAGTTGTACATATCTGCTAGACTCTAAGAGTCCATGATTTTTAGAAGAGGTCACACTTGCTGAAGTTGCTGTTCCTAGATACTTATTACTCCCAGATTGATCAGTTTTCTTCTACTGGCTGAGTTTCTCTGATCTAAAATGAATGAACTGTCTGGCAATGGTCTGGTTTTTCCAACACGTTGTCAATGAGTAGAAGAGGAGAGAGAGAGAGAGAGAGAGAGAGAGAGAGAGAGAGAGAGAGAGAGAGAGAGAGAGAGAGAGAGAGAGAGAGAGAGAGAGAGAGAGAGAGAAACAGACAAGGCTAGAGAGGCACATAGACATACAGACAGATACAGAGACAGAAGGTTGATTCTGACTTTTCAAATGGAATCTTCTGAATTGAAATTCTTCCACCACTCTATGGTTGAGCACTTGACTGGCTGACTACAGATTAGTTTGCTGTTTATATGTTGCCCAGGAGGTGTGACAATCTTCTCAGTCAAATACAAGGTGTTTTTAGGGAGGCATTATTTGCTTTTATTCCAGTGGTCAAAACTTTACAATCCTTTCAAATTGATTAGAGAATTATTAACCTTTAATTTACACTTTGATTCAATTGAGGAGTACAAGCCTTCCATGATTACATTAATTGGGGTGAGGTAAAAGCCCACATTTACAGCAGCATGTGTAGATAAAAAAAAATTGTATTTGGAGACTGAAGACCTATGTGACCTGTCCCAAACTTTGGGAGTTATCACTTCCTTTTCTATAAAATGAGGGGAGTTAGGTAAATGAGTAAAATGACCTTCCAATTTTAGTGTCTTCCAATTTTAAATCTATGGTTCCATGATCTTTGTAGTCTCAGAGTCTGGCAAAGTCTCTTCCACGTAAGAGGCTCTTAGTGAGCATCTATTGAATGAGTGATCCTATTTTTTGCCCCATTATGTGGTTAGAGCAGTTATGCCTTTTAGTTATCATCTCCCTGCCATGCAATTCATTTGTGTCTTAAGTGTAGGTTGATGGAATATGCTGTATGAATTTTCAATCCATTTTGAGTTTTCAACAGAAATCCCCCTCGTTCCCCTCAGGGATATCTGGTTGCCAGTGCCCATATGCTTGCAAGTGTGTTACAATGGTCACCAAATTCCTGAGCTCTCAAAGAAATAATGCAGATTTTTCAAGCTTTATTGGTGAATCAGGAGAACTCTATGGAAGGACAATGATGTGTGGTATAGGGTCTGCCAGTCCCTGCATGTGCATTTACTGGGACTTTATAGCTGACAAAAAGTCAGGATCAAATTGTACAAGGAAGGTAAATATATTCTAGCATATTTGCACTAAAAATGCCTCCAAATATTTATACTACTGCCAGTTTAGATAACTCTTAGCATTTTGAGTTCCCCTAATTGATCTTTATAAATACTTTATGAAGCTTTTAAACAGAGCACTCTGATGATTCTGTTCAATCCAGCAAACATTTAAAGTGGCCAATGCATCCTTTTCTACTAAAAGTGGGTCAGAAGTTCTAGATTGTGAGGCTCACTTTGTAATATTCTGTAAACAAGGAATAGAGCCAAACTTGCCAAATCCTTGATGCCTTTTTTTTTATGCTTTTACAGTTACAGCAAAAGCCTATTATAAAAAGCATTAATGTGCCATTGATATGGTTACCATATTTATTAACATAATACTGTTCCTTCATTTTCTTGCAGAATTCTATTTTCATATGTATTTTGTTAATAAAACTGGGGGATGGTAAAGTATATGATATCAATCTAAATTATTTTCAGGTAATAGTACATGCCTTGCCTCAGTAGATATTAAATTTCCTATTAAAATTCCTTTACCTGGCATTCAAAGCTCCTTATGATTTAGTACCACTCTTTCTTGTGTTTATTCTTGTTTTAGTTCCTTTTTGTATTAGGGAAAACATTTAACCCCATGAATAACGTAAACTTGCAAGATTATTCACAAACATATAACTTGAGATTTAGAAGGAACCTCAGCAAACATTTAGTTCAACCCATGCACAAAAGGAATACCCACTATAACAATATACCCAACAAGTGATTGTCTCTGTTGATCTCCAAGGAGAGGAAACACCACCTCTTAAGGCAAGTTATTTCTCTTTCATATACCTAAGGCTCTATCATCAATTAGCATGGAGGTAGAAGAGATGAGACTTAATAATCCCTCACAATGATCACAATAACATATACAAAAAACATTTTCATATTTCTGTCAAGGGCACTGCTATTCTTCACAAACATGGAGTTATTTTTCATCCTTCACTCTCACCATTTGCAATTGTTAAGTCTTGTCAATTCCACTTCTACAATATCACTTCTATTCATCTGCTTCTCCCTACCCATATGGCCACCACCTTAATTCAAGCCTTTATCACCACTCAACAAGACTATTACGATAAGATCCTAATCAGTATCCCTGATTCAAGTCTCTCCCCTCTCCCAGCTATCTTCTAAAACTCCACCAAAACAATGTTCCTAAATTTAGGTTATCTCATCCCTGCTCAGTGAGTTTCAATGGCTCCCGGTTGCCTCCAGGATCAAATACCTCTATATGGGCATTTGAAGCTCTTCACAATCTGGATCCAGACCATCTTTGGAGATTTATGATAAATAACTCCCCTTTAAACATTCTACAGCCTAGTAAAACTGGCCTTCTGCTTGTCCCTCATACATATCATTCCCTTTTCCCTCTCTGTTCCTTTATTTCCTTTCTCTGCTCTTTGTACAAGTTCTTCCCTAAACTTGGAATGCATTCACTTGTACCAACACTTAAAATTATTAATTTCCTTCACAGTTGAACTCCAGGACCACTTCTTACAAGGGCCTTCCTCATTAATAGATTGCTTTATAGTTTACAAAAGCTTTTACCTAGATTAGAGTTCCTAGATCTTCTCTTTTGGTCCTTGCAGACTCAGGTAGTTAGGACAGGTGTTATTATCCTCATTTTACAGGTGAGCAAATCAAAGGTAAGAGAAGTAAAGCAACTTGCTCAAAGTCACAAAACTGGCTTTTGAACCCAAGTCCTCTAACTTTAAGCCATTTCAGGGCAATTTCTATTATACTTTTACTGTTATTCCTACCTGGATGTTCAAGAGTTCCTTGTTTACAGTAACTACCAGGAAGAAGGGAATTAAGGAGGCAAAAAGACAATTGACTCTCTCTTCAAAAGCAAGTGAGCAAATAGGAATGGAGAACCCTAATTCCTGTCACCTCCCTACATGCTAACAACAGATTATTTAATAAAACATGGTCTGTTTGATTCTCTGTATTGATATTTCCAGTGCCTGGCATAGATCCTGGCACATACAGTCAGTTCTTCTATTATATGACAGATGCATTCCTGAAAAACAACTTGCTATGCAAAATCACATGATAAAAACTGCAGGGTTTATTGGGCAAATGGGACTTAGTGGCACAACACTCAGCAATTTTGTCAGTGACACATTAAGAGATACATAAAGAATAAACAGCAATGGCCATAGAGTATGTGGGTTCAGTCCTACCCTTCTCTACCCACAACTCCTATTGCACCAGGAGATTTTATGTATGTGTATGTATGTATGTGTGTGTGTGTGTGTGTGTGTAGTGTGTGTATATATATCATATAAATATATTTATCACATGTGTGTATGATAGATATACAAAAAAGATAGCACCTTACCTAAATTTGCTTATGGAAGTGGATTTCAGAAGGATTGTAACTGGTGAGTTGCTGTGAAGTAGTGGATGAAAGGTTATCTGAAAGCAGAAAGAAATTTTTAACACCAGATATGGATAGTGTAGCTCCTTGTACCTCTAAGAAATGACTCATTAAAAAAAAATCAAAATTTGAAATATTCTCAAATTGTTCCCTAATGTATCGATCAAATTGGAACAAATTTGCATTTTCAAAACAAGTGCTATAACAGAATTGACTGGAGTAGGAACCTAAATTTTTGTTGATTGGTTGATTGCAATTGCCTGTATTTCCCAACATTTGTGTCATAATGTGTCTCTGTCTACCATAATTAAGAGCAAATGCCAAACATTCCATTCCCCTAAAGTTTTAATCTAATTCTCAGTTCAGAATCAGTTCTTTAGGTCAGTTCATTTTATTTTGACTGTCCACCTTGGGTCTATTTCATTGCCCATGAATAACTTTATGTAGGGAAAGGGAGCTAATTCAATAAGCACTTATTAAGTGCCTACTCCTATGTGCCAGGCCCTGTACTGAGTGCTGGAGATACAAACACATGCACACATACAAACAACACACACACACACACAGAAACACACACACATACACACACACACAAAAACCATCCTGTTTTCAAGGAGCTTACAATCTTCTAAAGTCAGAATTCCAAACTTCTACATGACAATCTCTCTAATAAAAAGCCGGCAGTTTGTCTATAGATTTTAGTTATCCTATCTAACCCTGTTCCGCAGGGATAAGTGAGACTATAATATCCTGTTATGTTTGCTGATAGCCCTGCTTTTCATTAAGAGAAGGTGTAGGGAAAGCAATACAACATTTAGTGAAATGAAATTAGTGATCTGTCAACTTGGTCAATGGCATATTAAAAACAAGCATTCATTCATGCAATACCCCCACCTTCCAATCTCCTTTCAATACCATGTGTGGAGTGCAGCTTTTCATTCAAAACAGACTGTTAACAGGCAATCTTTGCTCTAATAGCTACCCTACTCCCTGTTAATTAAATGCCAATTTGGGTTACATAATGTAAAGTACTGCAATTACCTGTGCTGCTACATCACACTGAGAGTATTTTTATGCCCTGAACAGCCTGGGTGGTGATTAAATGATAAGATGCATCACATTAATTTACAATCAAAGCCTCTCCCCCTTCCACTTTTTTTTTAATTCAACTTTTCACTTAGCACCAATTCATAAAAACAGCCTAGGCTAGTAGAAAAAGGACTAGACAAGATTCAAATTTTGGATCTGCAATTTAAGACCATAGAATTTAGAGCTAGAATGGTCTTTAGGGTTCAACTAATTCAACAATCAAGTTTTACAGCTGAGGAGAGTGAGACCCAGACAGAAGTGCTAAAAGATAGTGATAGATTTTAATGTTTCCAAAGAATCTTACATGTGTTATTTCATTTACTCTCCATCATTTCCTATAAACAATAGCAGTTATATAGAAAGTTGAAAAAAATTAGTAGGCATTTATGAAATGCCTACTGTATGCCAGGCACTGTAGCTACAAACCACCATTTTACAGAAAAGGAAGCTAAAGTCCAGGGGTTAAGTTGTTCTATAGTAATACAACTAGTAAATATCTAAGGCAGGATTTGAACCCAAGTCTTTCTAACTCATGGCCCAGTGTTCTATGCCATACTGCCTTTTACACCAGAGCTAAAATCTGAACCCAAAATCCCTCTCAATAAACTCCAGTGGCTACCTACCTTGAGGATCAAATACAAAATGTCATGTTTGGTGTTCAAGCACTTTATAAACTAGCCTTTTACCTTTTCCAGTCATCCTTAACTTTAATCTCTGCCATCTACTCTTCATTCCAGTGACACTGACTGCCTAGCTGTAACATGAACAAAACATTCCATCTCTCAGCTCCAGGCATTCTCTCTAGAATGTTGAGCCTTTTCTAGAAGTTTAATTTGAAAAGAAGGAGAAGAAGAGCGTAAGGAGATAATAGCACATAATGAGAGATTCATTTATTCTTCCCCCTCCCCAGGATAGAAGAGACTTGAATGTTTTGGAACTCAGTTGGGAAGGAAATGGAAGGCACAAGGCCCTTGTGCAGTTGGAAGTCTTCTCACCTGAGAAGATTGAAGATTGTAAGGTGGGGTGGGGTGGAAAAGAATGCAAGAGACAAATAGAGGGAAGGGTTTGGCCATGCAACTCTTCGACATCATCACATTCCCAGCCCCCCTCATTTTTAGATATGGAAACTGAAGCTTGATCTGAAGTGCTTTGCTCAAGGTCCATTAGTTAAGTTTCCTCTTTCCATTCCCATCCTAGTGCTTTTTGTGCCATCCCACACTGGCTGTATCTGATTTATTATACTGATGTTTATCAAAATTTGCTGTTTAGTCATAGGCATACTTGTATTAAAACATACAACTATTAGATAAAGAAAAAAATATTTGCTATCAAAATGTTGTATCATGCAAGATATACATTATTTCATCTCATTGTATCTTCTCTCTCATTACAAAAAGAATCATACTTTACTGTTCCAATGATATGTCAGAAACACATTTTTCATTTTTCATATTTTCATTTCTATGTGGGTGTATACATATTGTAGTTTTCAGCTCTGTTGTTTTTATGCACATATCTAGCAGAGCAGCAACTTTGCCCTAGTATGGAAAATTTAAAAGGCACTGACAGCACTTTCCTGGGGCATGTTTCCTTGCTCATTTTGACCATGGTGGTAACAATCTTAGTCTGGGACATGCTTCATTTCCTGACAACTGTACCCATTTCCTTGCCTTTCTCCTCAATCAATTTGTCCAAAGGGCAAAAGGTCTAATAATCCAATTTTTGAGAATGCATCTTTATCGCTTGAAGCAGGAATATAATTATTCCAAATTAGATAAGCTCTTCAGAATTTCAATGTTACTAAGTATTAGGCCATATTTAAGAAACATAGACCACCTAATTATTGTATGGGTACCAGTATAATTGGGTGACTGGATAGTGAGGTTCAGTCCTTAGAACATCCTTGGATTTGTCCTTTCTATTGGGTTGCACAGAGCATTCACACTATTCTTTGTCTAGTTAGAATCTAACATGTGAAAATTTGGTGAAGCCTCTTCATAAATGATTAAGGGAGTGGTGCTATGGGCAGTACTGGGTAAAAAGCTAGAAAAACTGATACCTTAGGAGGCACTGAGCAGGAACTGAGTTTACATCCCAAAAGATCAATACACTAACTTCTTCCATTTTTTTTTGTTCCTTTTTCTTCCTAGCAAATTCAATTCACATTCAAGCCAAGATATAACCCATAATGTAATTGGTCCTCTTCAAAAAGGAAGGACGAACACAACAATAATTCCTAGATGCAAGCAAGGTAAAAACTTCAGTGAACAACCTAGACAGAAGTTTTTGAGTAGTGGTATTAGAAACTGCAATCCCAAGGGGTTCCCCCTAGAAATCTAAGAATAGAAGTTGTATTCTCTCCTATGGGAACTGAACCTGCTAATACAAAACAAGTTGGGAGGGTAAGTATAGAAGGAGGGTTATGCCAGCTTAACAATAGGGCAAGCTACTAAAGACATTTTAATATACTTTGTGAATTGCTTAATTTTCTGCTAACTACTTATATCACTTGTTCATTTGGATTACACCTAATCTAAATGAACAGATTTTGATTAAGTGGCTTTGAAGTTTTGTCTAGTTTGCATATTTATATAATGACATTATGTGTTGGTGAATTCATTCCTTTTAGGTTATTAGTTGACTATTATCTTTAAATGCAAATAGCAGCCCATATTTATATATGTTTTGCAGTGTTTTCCTTACATTCATTCATGCTTACTTCATCCCAGCAAGGTACTGAAGATACAGAAGCAAAAATGAAACTCTCTTTGGACTCAAGAAGCTTATACCCTATTAGGAAAGGTAAGATTGTATATTAATAAGTATATACAAAATAAATACCAGGTAATTTGGGGCAAAATTAGCAACTTGGTGGGGTGTGGAGTGAGGGAGGTTGTCAGGAAAACTTCCACATAGAAGGTTTCACTTCAGTAAAGTTTGAAGGAATGAGAAATTCTAAGAAGGAGAGGTAAGGTGATGGGGGAGCATATTCCAGGTGTGGTGGACAACCATTGCAAAGGTACAGACATGCAAGATAATGAATCTTGTGACCTGGAGAAGTAGATAAGTAGTAGAAGAATCACAGTATCATAGATCCAGAGTTATAAATTTAAATGTATGTCTAGCCCAATCCCTTCATTTTACAAATGAGAAAACTGAGGCCACAGAGTTTAGATAGGCTCAGTGATGGAATTTGAATTCTGATTCCTCTAATTCCAGAGTCAGTGCTCCTTTGAATATATTAGCATTATTTGTTTCCATTAAAACTGAGGCTTAGAGACAATACTTGACTTGTCATAATCACACAGTTAACAATTAGTGGAACAAGATTACATATCCAGATTTCCATTTTTATTCCATTTTCCAGGCTCTTTCTCCTAAAACCAGCTGCTTTACTAGGAAGTGATGTATACAAAGCACTTTTAAACCAATAGGGGCTATGCAAATAGAAGCTGCCATTTTTGTTGTTGAAAGTAACCAGGCTAGTTGAGTCCTTTATGTCACATTTAATATTATTTATGGATATAATATTAACAATGATCCTGCTAGACAGGTAACTTTAGGTCAGAAATTGAAATCAACAGCATCCATTCAAGCAACAGAACCCCCAGGTTGGATGTGGCATAACATACTAAGAGGATAATCTTTCTAAGCTTGTCACTAACCTTAAATAGCCTTCAAGCAGACAAAGCAAACAGTGTGGACCCAAAATAAGGAAATCAGAACCTGATTAGTCACAAATGAGAAAATAAAACCAGCTGTTGAAAAAAAGCTTTCTCTTCCCCCTTCAAATTACCTTTTTGCCCTAAGGCTATATCTAGTCCAGCTCTAGGATTTGATCTCATTGTAAGTAATGTCTTCAAAAACTACATGGAAACCACTTTCCCTCTAAGGACTTCAACCTGCTCTTGAATCTGAATAAACAGATCAAAAGTGGATGGTTTGGCTCAAATAGTGTGAAAATGCACTTGTACATTAACCCACCATGATTGTCTTTATTCCTAGTCAATGGATTGGGAAGGCAATCTGTACCTTAATGGTAACTGAATATAATGACTGTTGATTCTTTGATACTAGAGTGAAATGCAATTATGGCTCTGAACAATAGGCTATCAGGTATTTTATTACATGGTCACAAGTGTCACTTTCTATGAGGAGTAGAGGGATCATTCAGTTCCTTAAATGGTCTCTTCTACAGCACATCCCCGACATGCTCTAGAAGAGCATTAAGAGAGATTAAGTGCATTTCCACCAAGTACATGCATGCTGTGCCTTATTCGTCCTTGGATTTGTATGTATTCCTGAAACATGACTCAATGATAGTTTAAGTGTAGGAAATGTAATTGCAATTTGGGATGAATATAACATTTTTTAAAATGTCAGGATGTTTATTTCTATATCCAAGCAGTAAAATGGCAAATTTAAAGAGCCTGTAATAAGGGAATCTCAGATCATATCATAATTTTCATATTTCACAATTAGAAAGGTGAGTTGATCTAGGCAAAGTATATGCTTGGTGTCTTTTTGTGCCCTTTTCCCCCTGATGTAGGATAGACAAAAAATTTTTAAAAGTCTACAAATTCATTTCTGCAGGTAACTGAATAGTACAAAGATTTAAAAAAGAACATTGGTTTTGGAGAAAGATTGTTGTTTGTCTTCATCCTCAAAGAGGACCAATCACACCAAGGAGGTAAAGTCTTGACTTGCAAGGGAATTGGATTTAAGTGAGGCAGGGCTGTGCAAAGTCACCAGCCTCACTCTCTCCCAAGGAGCCATCTGGGTCCAGTGGTAAGATACAGATCAGGAGGACTGGAGTGGCCCTGGATGGAGTGAGAAACCTTGACCTTTTTAGGCTAAAGTCTTTAATAGGTCTTACTTTGTCTGACAAAACATCCCTTCAATGATTAAGGCTAGGTAAGAAATGAGGCAAAAAATGACATCTTTTATCTAGTTAAAAAAAATCAATCTGGGAGGGAAAGACCCTCAGGGTTTCTGGTCAGAACAGAAACAATTGCTATTTATACTCACTCTGAGCCATCAAAACCCAAACAATGAAGAAGTGAGGCTTGGACTGGGACCTCTTATTGACCGACTAGTGAGCCTGACTCGGGTTTAAGGCCTTTTGAAACCCAATGGGCTTTATTGAAGCCTGGGTTTACAATGCTGTATTTCAAGAAATAATAAAGGAAATTACATGGGGTGAAAGAGTCAGTTGTTCCAGTTTTTTTTTTTTTAAATGTCAGAATAAATAAGTAGGTAAGGAAAAAAAAAGAAAGACATCTAGCTCATAAACCCCAAGATATCTTGCAAGATTTCTGGAATCAAAAATTACACTCCTTGAGCACAGTCTCCTTAAAGGACAGGGAATAAAGAAACACCACAAGTAAAAAGAAATGTACCATAGATCCATATTATGAGAAGAGTGAAGATCAACACAGAAATTCTGAAGAGGACAACATTGTCAACAAACCCACATCTGCAACAACAAAAGGGAATATGAACTGGTCTGAAGCCCAAAAAGCCTTCTTAGAAGAGCTCAAGAAGGATTTTAATAGTCAAATGAGAGAGATAGAAAAGTCTTTAAAAAATACAATTGGCCAATTGGAAAAAAAATACACTGAAGAAAACAGGTCCCTAAAAAACACAATTGGCCAATTGAAGAAGAAGGACAGAAACTAACAGAAGAGTACACTGAAGAAACAAGTCCCTAAAAAACACAATTGGCCATTGAAGAAGGAAGTACAAAAACTAACAGAAGAAAACAATCTGTTAAAAACTAGAATTGGACAAATGGAAACTAATGTCTCTATGAGAGAGCAAGAATCAGTCAAACAGAAAAAAAAAATGAAAAAATAGATGAAAATGTAAAATACCTCATCAGTAAAACAACCTGGAAAATGACTCAGGAGAGACAATTTAAAAATTATTGGACTACCTGAAAATCATGATGAAAAAAGAGCCTGGACAGTATCTTTCAGGAAATCATAAAGGAAAACTGCCCAGAAGTCCTAGAACCAGAAGGGAAAATAACCATAGAAAGAATCCACCGATCACCACCTGAAAGAGATCCCAAATTGACAACCAAGAAATATAATAGCAAAATTCCAAAATTACCAGATGAAAGAGAAGGTGCTGCAAGCAGCCAGAAAGAAACAATTTAAATATCATGGAACCACAGTCAGGATTACACAGGACCTTGCAGCTTCTACATTAAAAGACCGCAGGGCATGGAACATGATATTCCTGAAAGCTTGGAATGCAGCCAAGGATCAATTACCCAGCAAAAATGAGCATCATTTTTCAAGGGAGGTGGATATTCAACAAAATAGGAGACTTCCAAACTTTCCTGATAAAAAGACCAGAGCTCAACAAAAAATTTGATCTTCAAGTACAGGGCTCAAGAAGGACTTAAAAAGGTAAATGGGACAGAAGGGTACAATATGCTGTTAATGAGGGGGGGGCTGTTTAAACCCCTACAAGGGAATATGAGACTTGCAACCCTTGAGAACTGTATTGTTATTACACCTTGTTAAAGGAGTATACATAAAGAGGGTGGATATTAGTTGACTTTGATGTAATGATAAAAAAAAATCTAATCAAGTGGGTTAAATGGATCCAAATAAGTGGATCAATCTGATCTTAGAAAATGTACTGAGAAAGGAGGAGGCAGACAAGGGTAAATTACATTACAGGAAAAGACACAAAATCCTATTACAGCAGAGGGAAAGAAGGGGGGGAGCATTGTTTGAACCTTACTCTCATCAGATTTGGCTCAAGAAGGGCATAATATAATCAGTTAGGTATAGAAATCTAACTTGCCCTATAGGCAGTAGGAGGGAAAAGGGGAAAGAAAAGAGGAGGGGAAAGAAAAGGAGGGGAAAGAAGGGAGGGAAAGCAGTAAGACTAAAGGGGAAGAAAAGGGAAAGGGATAATAAAAGGGGGAAGGGACTGAAGGAGGTGGTCAAAAGCAAAACACTAGTGAAGGGGAGAAAGGAAAAAGGAGAAAGAAAAGCATAAAAGGGGGAAAAGGATGGAGAAAAAGACACAGATAGTAATCATAACTGTGAATGTGAATGGGATGAACTCTCCCATAAAACGAAATGGATTGCAGAATGGATTAAAAACCATAATCCTACAATATGTTGTTTACAGGAAACACATTTGAAAAAGAGTGACACATACAGGGTAAAGGTAAAAGGCTGGAGCAGAATATATTATGCTCAGCTGAAGTAAAAAAAGCAGGGGTAGCAATCCTGATCTCAGACAAAGCAAAAGCAAAAATAGATCTAATCAAAAGAGATAAGGAAGGAAACTACATCCTGCTAAAAGGCACCATAGACAATGAAGTAATATCATTACTAAACATATATGCACCAAATGGTATAGCATCCAAATTCTTACAGGAGAAGTTCAGGGAGTTACAGGAAGAAATAGACAGCAAAACTATACTAGTGGGGACCTGAACCTCCCCTCTCTGCACTAGATAAGTCTAACCACAAAATAAACAAGAAAGAAGTTAAGGAGGTGAATAGAACATTAGAAAAATTAGGTATGATAGACCTCTGGAGAAAACTGAATGGGGATAGAAAGGAATATACATTTTCCTCAGCAGTACATGGCATTTACTAGGGCATAAAAACCTCACAATCCAATGCAGAAAGGCAGAAATATTAAATGCATCCTTTTCAGATCATGATGCAATAAAAATTATATGTAATAAAGGGCCATGGAAAGATAGACTAAAAAATAATTGGAAACTAAATAATCTAATCCTAAAAAATGATTGGGTCAAACAACAAATC